GGCTATTGGGAGGGGGACCCTGTCTTCCCGTACAACATGATATCTTCTGGGTGCCAGACCCTCACTACCTACATTTCCCCGCTCCCTATGCACAATTAAATTAGGTAAAATATAACAATATATAACAATCTTCAATAGAAAACTCGAATAGAAAACATAAGGTGCTCTGAACAAGAACATTCTTATAACAGTTGTTGGTGCTCTACCAACATGATGTTAGTCTTTTCTAATAGGTAGAAAAGGGGGATGAGCTGCGGCCTCAGGCGCGCTCCCCACAGATGCGCCGGGTGAGCTGGATGTCCTCAAAGAGCCCCACCAGGTAGGCCTCGCTCACCTACGGCCGGGCTCTGGAAGCGCAGGTTGGTCTTGAAGTCCTGCATGATCTCACACACCAGGCGCTGGAAGGGCAGCTTGCGGATCAGCAGCTCCATGGATTTCCGGTAGCGGCGGATCTTGTACAGCACCACCGTGCCGGCCTGGTCACGCCGCCTGTGGCCGGCACACTTTTGTGGGCCGCCTTGGTGGCAACCGGGCCTTTCGCTTCCGCAGGCAGGGTTGAGGAGTCGACTGCTGCCTGGAGGCAATTTACAAATTGTGTAAAGCTCTCACTTTCATTTTGTCTTATGGTGGACCATAGCGATGGCTTAACAATAACTTTAGAGGCTGTGCAAATAGCATCCCTGGCCGCACAAGTAGTTGTCATAACTTCATGGGCCTGGAGGCCCAGGGCCTGTGCTTGGGGGGTAATCATTGTTGGGTCTGTACCCATCAGCCGCTGCAGGCTGGAACCATGTAGTGGGTGATCCGCCCCAATTACTTGAGCTAGTTGTCTTGCACAGTTATCTTCCCATTCTTGTTTAAAAACAATCATCCCTGCTCCGTCAAAAATTAGTCTACAGGTTTGTTTTATGTCAAATGGGAGCATATCGTCTCCCCCAAAAACACCATCTATAAGGGTGGAGACCATAGCTGAGTTAAGCCCTTTATCTGCAATTGCCTTAACAATTGCTTGTATATCCCTAGGGTTTATCGGTGAGTGGACCCTCTGTCCCCCATCCATCACCCAGACCAGGAATGCTAGTGTGGCCAATGGGCCCAGTTGGCGCATGCAATCTTTATTTTCCTCCAGTCTGTAAGAGGGATTTCTCCCCATCGCGGTTTCTCTTTAATTTGGATGGGAATATTTCGGCTCTTAACTCTGTTCGTATTCATTCCCTCCTCCTCTGAGTTTAAGTCAATCGCGAACCACTCGTCCCAGCCAGTGTCTGATCCAGAGTCAGAGCCCGACTGATCGGCCACTTCTGGTTTCCCGTACCTTTTTGTTAGGCTCCGGCCCCACCCGCCTCCCTTGCGGGCAGACCGTTCCCTCCCTCTTGGTTCGTCCCGCCCTCCGCCCGGCGGGATGTTCGCCCCACAGTGGCATTTCTTCAGACGGCCGCTCTGATTGGCTTTCCAACCTTCACTCACGCTCCCCTCACCTTCCCGGTCGCTCCCACCACCTTTATCTAACACCTCCTCGATGTTCCCGCCAAGGGCGTCCTCCCCCCGCCCTCCCTCTTCTGGCTCGGCGCCATCTTGGGGCACATAGTGGGGCGGTCGAGCCCAAACTTCCTCAGGCTCTGATTTCCCCGCGGCAGCCCTGGCCTCCTCGATTAACCCACCCCAGAAGGACTTAGCTCGTTTCTGTCCCTCCGTGGGCGGGCCGGGGTTCGATTGAGAGGACATGTAATCGTCATCGTCAGAGGGGTGCAAAGTCCCCACCGCTTATCTAACTGCGATACGACCTTCACA